CACACACACACACACACACACACACACACACACACACACACACACACCCTTACAATAACAGTTGATGAAAAAAGAGGCCAGGATTTAAAGGAGAGTATAGAGGGGTATATAATATAATCTTAAACATAAAGAAGAGAGGCTGGGTGGTGGTGGTGCACGCCTTTAATCCCAGCAATTGGGAGGCAAAAGCAGGCAGATCTCTATGAGTTCAAGGCCATTGTGGGCTACAAAGCAAGTTCTAGTACAGCCATGGTTCTTACACAGAAAAATCCTGTCTCAAAAAATCCAAGAGGAAAACCACACAAATCCTACCAAAAACAGTGATCTTAAAATCTGTAGCAGTGTTTGCAAAACACGCCACTAATATTTAATAATTTTGTTTACAATTGACTTGCATTCCATTTTAGATAATACATGCAAGAGTCTTGGTTTTACCAGGTGGCCACAGGACACATGGGAAATTATTGGGAAGCTAGATCTTAATTCCTCATGGTCTTCCTTTCATACTTGGTTTTTAAAAATCTCAGCTTTTTACTGTTTTCTCAATTTTCCAGGTGATCTTTCTTCCACCGCTAGCTGTTTTCAATCATTTACCTTCAATATGTCTTTGCAAAGTCTTCATCCTAGGGTCTATGGAAACTGACGACTTCCCACTCATATTTAATTGTTTCTTATGATGCCTCATTACATGGAGTGATCATATGATCAAGTTTGACTCTCAAGAATACATTTGTGGATAATCACAGTCAATTCCCAGAGTACACTTCTCTTGGAGATATCAGTGTGTCTGTAGGTGACAAGAGTTGTGGAGGTGTAACATGAGGGCCGGCTTGTTGGGGTATCTGCTCCCGCCCCGGTACCTCACAGCCGGCAAGTCCCAGAGAAAATCAATCACACAGAGATCTCTATATGTTATAAAGCTGATTGGCCAATTAGGTCAGGCTACTTATTAGCTCTTATAACTTATGTTACCCCATTATCCTTATCTATGTTAGCCACACGGCTCAGTACCTCTTCCAGTGGGGCAGCTTACATCTTTCCTCTCCGGTGGTCTGGGCAGGAATGGCGAAGGGAGCTTCCTGTTTCCCAGAATACTCCCAGTCTCTTTGCTCCACCTCTACTTCCTGTCTGGCTTTCCTGCCTATACTGCCTGCCTGGCCAATCAGCGTTTTATTAAAATATAATTGACAGAATACAGATAATTCTCCAGCACCATGGAGGGTTCTGGGCTCCATGACCCCAGTCAGCATGCTCTGAAGAGTTGGTGGACAGTGCTGGAGGGAGTTGTAGAGTCAGTAGTTACCCACCCACTGGGGCATGGCCTCTTATACTATTTATGCTGATGTAGAGCATGCATCAGGTCTCTTTTCCAGCTGCAGGATTTGGTTTCTGATCTCCATTCCAGCAGAGGATTCTGATTTGTGAGTCTGCCCTTAAATAAATAACCATCTATTTCTCAATTCTGAGCTACTGTGGAATTTCTTTTAAGCATCCTTCTTCAGGGCAGTACCAAGTCAACAGTCCAGTTGTATTTCTCCAGCTCTGTGGGAGTCTTTATGACCAAGAGAACATCAAGTCAAAAGGTCCTGAGGCAGATAAAGTCTCACGGGTACAGAAAGACCAGTGAGATTGAATCATAATGAAGAAGGGGAACATGGAGTTGGAGAGTCGAAGTGGAAGGAGATGGGTCTGGCTGACCTCTTCAGTCTAGGACTCTTAAGAAGTTGGGGTTTCATGCTGCAGACAATGGGAAATGATAACATATGAGAAACGGGCATCTGTCCATGCCGTAACCACCCCCTCTTTGTCCCCTGTCATTCTGTGAATCTCAACAATTGTTGGGGACGTGACAACAGGTTCAGAAATAAAATGATTTGCACAACCAAACAGGTTGGCTGTATGTGCACGCACGTGAGTCCATGCTTGAACACCCAGGAGTGTGTCTATTCCCGCATGCATGATAAAAATGAGTTTCAGAGTATTAATGAATTCTCAAAGATAACATTCCTTGAAGTATCTTCTCCCCACCACAGAAAAGGCAAATGCAAGGCAGCTGTTGACCAACATGAAGATGTCAGCTGTCTGGGAAAGATTGGGGCTGCTGGGCACATCTGTTCTGCCTCACCCTGTCCTAGTGAACATTCCAGCTGAAATCCTTGCTCAGGGCTGGAGATCTCAGGAGCTGGCGCGTCTGGAGGCCAGGACCAGAAGGGACATGTCCCCTACATTTTGAAGGGAAAAGAAGACAAGGAATTAGTTTCCACTTCTCATTGCCTGTGCTTGCTATATGAAGCAGCCGGCCAGGAGGAATGCCCCCAACTTCAGGCTCTGTGGCAAGACCCTCTTTCCTGTGCCAACAGTTGCTGGCTATGATAAGCATCAACTCCGTCCCATACCACTTCGTGGTGACCCATTTTGCAGTTGCCCAGCAACCAAGGAAGTATTGGATATAGAATCCCATGAGCGGGGCCAGAGAGCTTCTGGCCCAGTTTCCCTCCCCATTATTCTCCTGTCATCTCCGTCCCAGTTGCATTAATCCCCGGGTACTGTGGTCACTGACAGCTCTGGCCCCGACTTGCTACACTCCTCATTTCTGACAGTTACAGAAGGACTTCAGGTTTGACCCACCAGCTGGAAACCCCAGTGTGAAGGGAGAGGGGAAGGGTGTGGAAGCCCTGGAGACAGCGCCTGCCTTGTGCTCCATCTCTCAGGAGGAACTCTGTCCGCCTTGCAGTTCAGGGTGCCAACTTGAGGTACAGACCCTGGCGGCTACTGCCCAAGGGCTGAGATCAGAAATATCCCGTGGCTGCCCCTGATGTCAAGGCTGTGGGAGAGAATGATTTAAAGAGATGGAGAGAGGCCATTTGGCTGCCCCCGAATCTGATCTACTTTTCTCTCCCATAAATCCAGCGTTCACATAAATCCTTGCTCTCTCCGATCCCACCCGTGTTCAGTTCCTCTGTTTTTCCCCCTACCTCTTCCTCATGAAAATAAATGAGTCACACTCGGTCATCTTGTGCCCATGTTTTATGCCTTGTAGCCCAGGGCTGTGGCAGGGAGGTGGCTCACTAGAAAAGGGTATTTCCCCCATGACTCTTGGGCTGGCAACTCTTTGTTCTGGTATAGGGTGGCCATTACAGATATTTCTTTATTCATAGGTATCCACCAGAGCTGAAACAATCATTACACCAAATTTACAGGTTTTGGGAGCAGGGGCTGTGGCTAAGTGGGCAGAATTCTTGCCTGGTATCCACAACACCTTGGGTTCAACCCTCAGCAGTCCATAAGACCAAGCATAGTAGAGCATGGTGCAATCTTAGGACTTCTGAGGTGGAAGCAGAAACTCAGCTGTATAGCATAAAATTCTGTCAAAAAAAATTAGGTCTGGTAAATTATAATTAGGTCTGGCAAAAGTAACTTTCAGTATTTTTGTTAATAGGCCATTTAGTTGAACATTTTTTCCTGGTGAAATATTTTCAATTTTTTAAAGAAGAGAAGGTGATGCGGATTGAAGTTGGGGTGGGGTTTGAGATGAGGAAGCCACGCTTGTTTTGCTGGCCCTGGAGACGTGCCTGCCTGACTCTGAGGTACTCCTCTGAGTCTCAGCAAAGGATTGCTCAGGTCCACAATGGTTCCCATCACTTAGACTGTGTGAACACGGACTGGTTCTCAAACAGGTTCAGTCCCAGTTTCTCCAGCTACAGAAATGTGCAATGGGGAACCAAAGCGGTGGATAGCCTTTTCATGCCTTTTCATGCTTAGCAGCCCGCACCCCTGATGTGCAGTGGTCACTGAGAAGCTGGAGAGGCGTACTTGATGCATTCTTTGCAGGTTCATGCCACTGCAGTATGAGACTCCAAACCAATTGGCAGATTTCAGCACCTGAGGCTGCAGTGGATGGAGAACGATCTCTGGCTAGGGAGGCCTTGCCACACTTGCATGGCAGGCCATTTTGTCTGAATTACCACACCACAAAAGGCCAGCTATCAAGCAAAGAGAGTGTAAACCAGTCTCTCGTCACTTTAGATTCGTGATGACCTAAGATCAACTGGCTGGTTTTATCCTTATTTCTTGAATAATGAGTGGACATGACTTGGTGCATTTGTCTGATGATCTTAAGGCAGTTACAGGACTTGGAAATGTGTGGCCCTACCTGCATAGGCTTCTCCCTTATCATAGGGCTGTTGCTTGAACAGACTATCCTTCATCTTGGACAACATTTCCCATCCTCAGGATGGCTGTTCTGGATTGTTTCTTTTTGTGTGTGGCTGTGCTAATAAGTGCCATAACCGGAAGCTATGTGTAGAGGAACGGCTTTAATTCATTTTACCGATGACAGTCAATGATGGAAGTCAGAGCAGAAGCTCAACTTCAAGACAGGGGCTTGAAGCAGAGACCGTGGAGGGTGCTGCTCACTGGCTTGCTCCTAGGCTCACATGCATCTATTTTCCTTACACCCGGCTGCCCAGGGATGGCACCACCTACAGTGGGCTGGACCCTCTGTCATCAATCGATAATTAAGAAAACGTCACACAGACACACCCACGGGCCAATCTGATGGAAGCGACTCCTCAGCTGAGGTCCCCCTCTTCCTGGGTGTGTCAAGTGGACAATCAAGACGAGCTATCAAAGTAGTGCTTGTTCACTGTCTGTTGTACACACTGGTATGTTTAGTTGTGGTATCACACTCCCCTTCTGATGCTGAAAGCCCCACCTTGGTGGTGTATGCTCTTTGTGCTGCATTCATCTTCATAGAATAAGAAATAATCAGATCTGTACTTCTCTCTTGGTTACACTTGGGCTTGCAATCCCTATAGGGAAGAGTCATAGCATCTTGGTAGAGTGGCCCCCATTGGCTAATCACCTCCTCCTGCACTGAGACTCAGTGGCTGTCTACCCTGTCTTGCATGCATATAAGGCTTCCATCTGCCAATATCAACCCTACTTTTCCCCCTAGAACTTCTGCTAGACCTTTGGTTGGAGAACACAGTGACTAGCCAAGCACTAACTCTTCTCTGTCGATACAGCTTCTTTCACCATTAAGACCCAAGGACTCCCAAGGATGGCATTATGACATTGCCTGACTTCTGGAGTGTCTAGTGATTTGCAGAGATAGAGCAATTTGTGTGGTGCTGTTCAGTTTACGGTATCAGAGAGACTTGTTCTGTAAGGGGAGCTTTATGATCAGGGATCTTCCAGACCTTTTGTGTCATAGCTTTGTTCCCTGTCACTCATGCTGAGAGAAGCTTCTAGATGGACAATAAATGTAGGTTGAAGTCACTGGTGGGGCCTGGGATGTGGGGCTTCCCTTTGTCAGGAATCAAAATGCTGAATGGAAAAGGGCTTCAGCGGTGTGCTTTGCCTTTATGTTTTAAAATAGATCATATTCACCATTGGTCCAGAAGGATGTGGTAACAGTTTCACCAGCTGGAGAAGACAGCTCTTTGTCCTCTGGTTGCTAAATACTGATGATGTTGTGTGGTTCTCAGGCCCTGAAGGATCCTACCTTGGCTGCCAGGAAGGATTTCCAGAGGGAGGCTGAGCTGCTCACGAACCTGCAGCATGAACATATTGTCAAGTTCTATGGGGTGTGTGGTGATGGGGACCCACTCATCATGGTCTTTGAATACATGAAGCATGGAGACCTTAACAAGTTCCTCAGGTAAGCAAGAATGGACAACGTGCCCCACCCTGTCCCAGTGAGCCTTTGGGGTTTTCTCTGTGACCAGAATTCATACTTGCCACTATGAAATCAAGTCACTCGAGTCTGAGGATAACAAATCAAAAGCACTGCCTTTATTTTCCTTCTTCTCTCTATTCTGTCTCTGTCTATCTATCTATCTATCTATCTATCTATCTATCTATCTATCTATCTATCTATCTCATCTATATCTTTCTATCATCTATCTCTATCTACCTATCTATCATATCTATCGATCAATCATCTATCTATCTATCATATCTATTTATCTATCATCTATTATATCTATCTATATTTGTCTATCATATCTATCTTTCTGTCTTTGTTTATCATCTATCTCTATCTACCTATCTATCATATCTATCTATGTATCTATCATCTGTCTGTCTATCTATCTATCTATCTATCTATCTATCTATCCATCTGTCTCTATCTCTGTCTTTTATGTTCTGTGATTTCAAGTGTGCACTTCTGTGTCCGGTTTATGTGGTTCTGAGGATGGAGCTGAGGGTTTTATGTATGCTAGGCAAGCACTTTACTATACCCCCAGACCTAACCCTTTAATTCTTATGCATTGCTTCCTTTCCAGCTGGACTTAGATTTTTGTATTCACAGTGAGACACCTTTCTTCTTGGCTTTCAGATAGACAGAGAAGAAGAGTAAGACCTGGGGTATATCCTGTGTGAATGCCAGGTTGAGACTCACAGCCCTGGTTTTAGGGCTATCTGCTCTCTTACCCTAATGTGGGAAATGTCTTAAGTGTCTCACTTGTCAAATGAGATTAGTATGTTATATCTTTAACCTGCTCTCCTCCCCTGACCAGAGACTTTTTTGATGATGAATGTGAAGGTATCAAACTATAAACTCAACAGAAAGCATAGGTAATTGATAAAGAAAGGACATTCTGTACTCAGGTAAATTCTACTTGTCAGCATTCAGACTTTGAGAAAGGAAGGGGTAGAGTCAGACTTGGAAAGAGTCTTCAGATCTTTCCTTATGAGTCAGGGTTGCAAATAACTGCCCCGGAGATACTGAGAAAACCCACTAGATTCTCTATATCTCTGGAACTTGAATTCAGAATAAAATTGATTCCTGGAGAACTCAGTCCTTAGCGTAAGAGGGATGGAGGCTTATCTTAATTATAAATGGATCAAGTTATGACCACTTCATAGAGCCGTTGCTAGAAACCTTGTGTGGCAATGTGTATATAATGCCTGGGTGCATTTTGTATGCAGCAAGGTACTGAACAAATGGTGGCTATTGTAAAAGTCACTTCTATTATTATTACATTATATGAGTCGAGAGCTTCCAGATGATTCCCTGTCTTTGTATGCATAATCTCCCTCATCCTGTACTTCCACCCCTCTGCCCTATTGTACATCACAACACATTCTCCGGAGATATAGCTGATTCTCCAGTCCCACGTACAACCAGAAGGGCTCAAAACCTCCCAGATCCTGTGTGTTTCTTTATTCCAAGGATAGATGAGGAATACAAAAGAGAGGGGAGAGGAAGGGGGAGAAGCAAGAGTAAGACCAGGGCAGGAGAAACACAAAGTTTAAGGGAAAAAAAACCACAAGGCCAAAGAAATAATTTCTTACCATTGTGACTGACTATTTAACAAGAGGCCCCTTAAGGGCACGGGGGATTGATTTTGACTCACAGTCTGAAAAGATGCAGTTCATCACAGCGGAAGACACAGTGCTGGCACATGGGGTTGTATCATATCTAAAATCAGGAGTAAGAGAGTTTGGACCAAGAAGAGTTTGGGGTATAAGCTGAATGATACCCTCATGCCAGTGACCTACTTCCTCTATAAAGGGTTTGCTTCTCAAGGGTCCCTCACTTCCTAAAAAAGTTCCCTCACTCGAGACCAAATATTCTGACCGTCTCTTGAAAGCATTTTACATTTGAGCTGTAGCAGGTACATGTGGCAAAAATTTGTGTCTGCAAAGAATTCCTCACCCCTTCATTCTCCAAAGCAGGAACGTAAGAAGAACGTAGTTATACTTCTCTGTCTGTCTTTGAAGTCTCTTCCCGAAGAGAGCAAGGGGATCAATTCAAATTAAGGCCAACAGTTGCTCCAGGTATTCTGTGGCAACCGCTGTGCAGAATTCCAGAGTTGGTCCAGATTCTCACCTGCCTTTCTAGGCTCCGTTAGTCAAGGCCAAGCTTCTCCAAAGCTAAAAACTGAAAGCCTGGGTCACATCAACCCTTGCTAGGAGTGGGCTTGCAGTCTTCTTTCCAAAGTGCCCCCTGCTTGATCCCCGGGGTCAGTTCTACCTGCTAACATGTCTCCTGGTTAGTGGAGTTTGGGGCCGGCAGGAGTGCATCCTGGTATACTGGAGTGGGAATTGGCCTCCTGCCACATCCCTGGCTCGCTGATTCAGTGGCTTTCCTGTGGAGGGAGGGGGGGCAAAGCCCACCAAAGATAATAAACAGAGTGTGTTCCTATTTAATGGCACTTCTCAGTGGAAATTGGAGAAACAGTAAAGCAGGCCGGGGCTTTGCTGTGCGCCAGGGCTCGTTGGTCCTCCACTCCGTAAATAAGGGCCCCGGTGTGGTTGTGGCTCATTGGACTTTCTGCAGGAAAGAGTGAACACTGAAAGTGACCGAGCTGACAGGGCAGGGTGTTATCATAACACAGACAGGATTGATTTGCCTTGCTTTGGGTATTGTGGAGTGGTTAGAAGTGCGGAACAAGCCTTATATCACTTACAGCTGGGGGCTGTGAATTGCCCATCAGCAATATCAGCACTATCAGCATGGGAGCTTGTCAGAAATGCAAATGAAGGAGCACTGCACAGCCAATCAAAACTCCAATGGGCAAGACCTTAAGATCTCTTAAAAATCCTTCTTATACCCCTTTTGGCAGCTTTTACAGGTAAAAGCTTATTTAAAGTCATAGATAAAATTCACAGTGTGTCTCTTGGCTATCATATAGCTATTCTGAAATATCTAGGACTTTGGTTGCGCTTTCTAATCATTTTGTGCCTCAACTTAAAAAGAAAAATCAGGGTATGAAGATTAAATGAATGTATTTAAAACTATGAGAATAGCATTTGACATATACATGCCGTAAGAGTTAGTGGTTTCCTTATTAATTATTCTAGAATAAGCACCTAGTATCTGAGAAGAATTAGGTATTAGGTGGTAGTTAGTGAATGAGGTTTGTTCCCTCCCCCAGCTGAGTACATCTCTGTTATCTTAGTGGGGATCTTATAGTTTCACCCAGAGCCACACTCACTAGAAATAGGCACCGGTAGCCTGGAAAGGAGATTGCCTTCATTTCAGCAGGACTTTCAAGCGCACTGAAAACCACCAAGTCTTTGCCTTTGATCTATCGCGTTCTCTCTGCTCCATCTCTCTTCCCCCTCCTTGCAGGGCCCATGGGCCAGATGCGATGATCCTCGTGGATGGGCAGCCACGCCAGACCAAGGGGGAGCTGGGGCTCTCGCAGATGCTCCACATCGCCAGTCAGATCGCCTCGGGCATGGTGTACCTGGCCTCGCAGCACTTCGTGCACCGGGACCTGGCCACTAGGAATTGCCTGGTTGGAGCTAACCTACTGGTGAAGATTGGTGATTTTGGCATGTCCAGGGATGTTTACAGTACTGATTACTACAGGGTAAGGAGACCTTCCCAGCTGCAGGACTCCGTTTCCAAGCTAGTGCCTTGCTTACATGTCTGTCATTGTCCATTAACCCTGTCACTATGGTGCACGTGTATGCACACGCATGCTCACATATGCACTCAACAGTTATCTTTCAGCCACTCCTGCATCTTGGCATATCATGGCAGGCCATTTCTTCTTCCTCTTTGACATTAGGCTGGACTCTGTCTATACATTGCAATTACCTGCACATTATGATTGTACTGAATCTGTGCAAACAGAGTTGGATACCTATAACCTATGTTCAAGTGAACACCCAGACAGTCTAACTTGGTGCTTTGCCAGTATTCCAACCCATCCCCTGACCTAGCCTCACTCACAACATGTTTTATAATCTGAAATTACCTCATGATTATGTGAGAGTGGTCTCGTTTCCAAAGGCCGATCTTTCTGGACAATGAAACCCCAAGTAAACTAGAAGGGGTCAGTACATTGCTAAACATAATCCTACTGGCCTTGGGGGAAAAGAAACTAAAGCATTTTGTCAATATCTGGCCCTGGAGAAAGGCTGACTGTAAGGAAGCTTTATTTGCATACACTTATCTATTTCCCACTGCAAGACCTTGACTCTCATTTACGGGGAATCTCCTTATCATACAACATTGAGATTTTGTATGTTATTATGGCCAGGCTAAAGGTGAATGACCATGAATGGCATTTGTCCCAGAAAGAAAACCATGGGTACAACTTGATGCCTACATATGGGGTCATGTCTGCAAACTGATTGGGAGACACCTCCTTCTGCCATAAGGAAGATGGATGTTGCCTATAGTGGCACTTACCTGTAATCTCTATTCTTGAAAGGTTGAAGCAGGTGGATCTAGAGGTTTAAGTCAGTCGGCAGAGAGACACCTTGCCTCAGAAAAAAATAAGAAGGAAAAAAAGTTAAAATAGGGAAGCCTTACTTTGGGAACTTTGACTAAAGGAGGAGTTTAGATTTGTGGTATAGGAGACAGAGGGACAATATTGTGCAGTAGAGAATGTCTTCTTCTGTGACACGTGAACAAAATTACCACCAACCCTGGACCTTACTTATGATGATACAAGAATACTTCTCAAAGTTCCAAAGGCTCAGGCAGCTTTCATGTCTGGTAAAGGCTGGCTCTGTGGTTTCTAAATGGTCTTTTTGTTGTGTTCTCCTATGATAGAAAAGGCAAAGTGTCTCCTTAAGGCTCCTCTGTGAGATCACTAAATCTAATGATCTAATGACCTTGTAAAAAGTTCTGCTTCCAGTCCTTCTCCTAATATCACTACCTGCCATTCTTCTGCTAAGAACAAAATGTTTGTTTTAGCTTGGGCACTAAGGAAACATAACAGTCAGTTCATAGCAGGAGAACGGAAGTCAATTGTCATGGTAGGAAACAAATGATTGTATTGTGACGTATGATCCTGTTGCCTGAACTTGGTAAGCCAGGAGGCTAGAATTTGGGGCTAGCAAGTACATACGTTCTTGTTAGATTTATTGGGTGCTCCTGGTAACATTGTGATGCGTGATTGATTGCTCAGGTATGGATACTGATTACTCAAGGAGCTTCAGTTGAGAAACAGTGCAGAAGGAAGTGGGATGTTTTAGATATGCCCTTTGTGATGACTTCAGAGTGTCTTGTTCATGGTTCAACCAAAGGATGGCAAACCATGTGCTATCATGAATACACAGGAGGCAAAATAAACCAAAGCTGGAAAAAGCAGCCTGTCCCCAGCAAAGAGGCTGGCTTTAGTCACTCATCCTACCAAGTATCCCCAGATACAGGAAAGGGAGCATGGTGTGGCACACCCACAGGTTGATGGTCAGAGAAGACCTATCTGGATGTACAAAAGCATAGCCTTCAGAATCTAGACACTTCTCCCCACCTGGCATATCCAAAGCTTGGGTGTGGTTACTAAGGCCATTTATGGGTCATAGAGCCTAGCTGAGGTCATTTGTTTGTCTTCTATTCTATAGAGTGGGGTTTCCTGTCTTGTCTGGCTAAATTCAGATCTATAGTGGTGCTGATGATAGTAAGGAATGGCTTGCTGGTTTTTGTTTGTCTCTTTCTGTGCAGGGGTAATGTTTAATGATAATTTCTTGATCTCTGTGGACTCTATCAGGTCTTAGGAGACCATATCAGACCAAAATATACATGCTGAGCTTTGAAACTGGCTTCTTGGGTTGCATTTAATATTTCTCCTTTGGTATATAAAGGTTAAAAAAAGCCATAAAAAGAACACTATTTAAATGGTACACCTTCACCATTGCTTTAGCAACTATGAGCTACACTCTAACTCATGGCAAAGCATCGAGGTGTAAACCTACCGCATTTCTTTGGGTGTCAGGACATAACTCAAGGATGTGAGGTCAAGGGGAATTGTCCACAGTCCAGGTATCTTGAATTCTCTCTTCATAAGCTCCAGGTCAACCTGTTAGCTGAGACTAGATGACTTAAAAATGTATGTCTTTGGTTCCAGGGAAGTATGAAAGGAAGGAGGATAGTTATTTGTGTGAAAGTGGCCACTCTCAAAGATCAGATTGGATCATCTCTCTCTACTTGTTTACTGACAATGCCTTGATGTATGCTTACAGCCCTCCTCCTACCCCAAATTTTCTGAAAAATGAAAGACAAAAGTACGTATGCCTGAGGTCACAAAAATGTCCCTAAAGTGTTATCCCTTTTGGAAGACTTTGGTGTTTCTAAAGAATTCTTGGATTTGGAGCTAATGTCAGCTATGTTTACTCTCTAATGTTCAACTGCCATCAGCACCATGTGCTCCCTGCCTCTGTTCAATTTTCTTATTTTGAAAATTAGGAGAAAAATATTTACCCAGTGGAGGTATGTTTATGTTAAGCAAGTTAGTTTGTGCAAAGTGCCTGTAATGCAATACTTATTGGACAAGCTATTGCTTTTACTGCTTCCTCAGCACCCCTCACACCCAAAAAAAGAACACTGGAGATAAAGTCTCATTCCCAGATGGGATTCTTGGATCAGAAAGTGGAACTCCTGACCACTGGAAAATAAACTAGGCTCATAGAGCGGCCCCAAAGGAATGGGGTTAAGATGATCACCTCAAGGAAAATTCCTTCCTGGAGTTTCAACTTCCATAGAAATAGTGAGGGGGTCATCAGCATTGCCCTTCTGGCCAGCATTTATATGCTCTTGTTTCCAAATCATAGAGCTTTGCCTATGTTCGAGAGATTTATATAAGACGTTCTTGTTCGGTATACACTGGCTAAGGCCCCAAGGAATGTGGTGATTTATCAGATAGACAGAACACTATAAGGATGCTCTCTGTAACCCGGGTCTAATTTCTGTTACTCTACTATGCTTGATTACTAGAACTGAGAACTTGCTGACTACTCAAGTTGCTAACTAATGTAGATAAACACAGAAAATTTAAGTGTGTGTGTGTGTGTGTGTGTGTGCGCGCGCGCGTGCGTGCACACATGTGCATTCATGAGCATGCCTATGTGAATGTATGCGTGGTCAGCTTGGGTTTACTCACTTTGTGAAGACTCTAGAGTGTACACAGGAGGTCAGGAGGAGAGGCAAAGATAAGGTCCTTCTTATAGGTTTCCCTTTTCATTTTAAATTTCTTAAAACAAAGAGGCGCCATCTGGCTCATACATAAATGGTATGCAAATGATTTACAAAGGTGAACTGCCAAATTTCCTGTTACACATTTAGATTGAAAAAACAAACATGCCCGCATCAAGTCAGTGGAGCAATTTCTTCTCTTCTTACAACAGGCTGGATGGCAGCCACCTTTTTCTCCTGTGGCTCACTGATGCTTCCACGAGGGCCTGTAAACGGGCTTTGACAAAGGTTCATTTGCAGATACCACACTTCCCTTCTTAGATCTTCAGAGAACTCGGAGACATTGGTGATCAGATGTAGAGTTAAATAAAATTGCAGACATCCTGAAAAGGAGCAGGTTGAGACTCCAGAGCTGGCATACTTTCAGGTGTGTTTATTAAACATGTGGGCGGTCAGTGAAGATCTGGAAGGGACAGGAGTGGAGTGGGGGGACAGATGCTATGATTCGGAGAGCCCAAAGTGGGGTCACTCTGCTGCCCCTGCGCTTAGCTTCATGCCTGGCACTCTGCAGAATTAATGGAATTATGCGTGAAGGAAAACATGTGTGTTCAAGGTTAAGCAGGAAATGGATCAGACCAGAGAGGAGCCCACAGGCAGTCAGACACCCAGCACTGTGATGCCATCCTTTGGCAATCCAGATCAAGCCTTTTCTAAACAAGTGGATACGGCATCTGGGAAGAATGCCCTAGGAGGCAGGCGAGGAGTGACCTGGATAGTCTGAGTATGGGGTGTGTACTTTAGGATAGAAGTGGGGTTCTAACCATAAAGTAGACCGGTCTGATAGCTGCTAATATGACACTAGATTCCAAGCTGAGAGTTCTGGGACCTAGTTCTCAGCAACTCCTAGAAATGCTAAGAATAGTAATCCACAGAACATGGGAATAATTGAGGGAAAGATGATCTAGAGGTAGAATATTTAATACATACAAATATATATAATTTATTTAAAAAACAAACTATCTTAAATTTTACATGACAATCCCAGTTCCCATTCCCTCCCCTCCACCCATTCCTTCATCCAACCCCCCCAACCCCTTTCCCTATTTACTCCTCAGAGAGGGTAAGGAACATTGCTTTGGGGAAGGTCCAAGGCCCTCCCTACTACATCTAGGCTGAGCAAGTTATTCATTCAAAGAAAATAGGTCCCCCCCAAAGCCAGTAAAGCAGTAGGGATAAATCCTGGTGCCACTGCCAGTGGCCCCTCAGTCTACCCCAGCCATACAACTGTCACCCACATTCAAAGGGACTAATTTGGACCTATACTGTTTTCTTCCCTGTCCGGCTGGAGTTGGTGAGCTCCCATAGCTCAGGTAAACTGTTTCAGTGGATGTCCCCATCATGGTCTTGACCTCTTTGCTCATATTCTCACTCCTCCCACTCTTCAAC